AAAAGGCCTTTGAATCTTTGACTCCGGGCCTTATAGAGAGTTGACGATCCTCTATATGTGGTCAAGGATATGAATCAACTCGAGCCTTTGAATTATTTTCTATTCTTAAGTGCGTAAGTTACGTAATATATTGTCTAAGTGCCTATTATACGTGTAATGTTCATTTTGTGTTCGTTCTCTTTTTAATTTTGTTTCGGGTTTTGGCGGTGTGTCTTGGGTTACCTAAATTGGAGAAGGTGATTATCTTATGAGCTTGTTTTCCCCCATTCTATCAAAAAAAACCAAAAAATAAGAAAATATAAAAAACAAAAAAATATTTACTTTTTATCCAACAACCCCCCCCCCTCTTTTGTGTTATATTAGCATAAGTTTATATTATAAGTTTTATAAGTGTTATCTTTTGTGTAGTATTTAGTTTTTTTTTATTTCGTGACAATGTGTGTGCATGCTTAAATGATTTCAAAAGTACAAATTTTCTCCGTGGGATCGACCCTTACTTGCCCTAGCTATAGTTTTTATTTGATTATATTGTGGGGGTTAGTTAAGGATATTATATAAATTTTTAATTTGTTTTGGACCACACGACAAGTCCCCAACAAATTTTGGCGCCGTTGCCGGGGAAGGTTTGTATGAAATCATTTTAGTATGCATGTGTGTTTTATGTTCTTTGTTTGTAAGAAACCAAGAGTTGATGAAGTAGCCTCTTTTCTTGAGTTCTAATTTGTTTTAAATGCCTATCCGTAGAATTGGGATACGTGACCTAGAATGAACTAAAATCAGCCTTATTGACTCTCTTGAATGCTGAATTTGTGTTCCAAATGATGGTTTTTATGAAATTTCAGGCCTATTTTTCATAAAATATTCATTTTAACACTATTTTCTGCATATATTCTTGCTGATATGAGTATCCAATTGGTCATATTTGTTGCATTTGTGCTGCTTTGTTCATTTTTTTATTAGTACAACATGTATGGTTTGATTATGCAAAGAGTTGTGTGCGGATTTGGATGCATTTCAAGCTAAATATGCAAGAAAAAATTGATTTGTACTTGCTGATTTTTTTGAAATCTGTACTACTCTTGCTGTTTTTGTCCCTTGAAAATAAAAGATCATTTCTAAATGCATATATTGATTTTTAATCTTTATCTGTTTTAAAGAAACACATTCACTTTACTACTTCATGGTTTATTTGAATATGTTTTTGCAAGTAGTAAGTTTTGTCTAGCCAAAGACGTTAAATCAGGCGGCTTGTGGGAGCCAACTCAGCTTCTTTTTAAGTTTTTTTTATCTTTCTAAAAAAAACTCTTTTTACTTATAACTTCTCGTTATTGTTGTACTTTTTCTCTTATAGTTATTTTGCATTTTTTTTCCTTTTTTCTATTTTTCTTTAACTTCTTGTTGTTGTACTTAACTTTTTTTTTTGTGGTTATTAATTTGATTTTATTTCTTTTAGGAACCAACTTTTCTTCCATATTGATGTAATAGTACTTGTTGTAATTATAGGATTAGTTCTTTCCTTTTTCTCTTTCATTTTATTTTTGAAAAACACAAAAAAAAAGTGAAAAAAGTATGTTGCTTGATTTTAATTTTTTTTTACTTACTTGTGCCTCTAACCATCTTCTTTAAGAGCTTTTTGCAAGATTTGTTGAGTTATAGGTTGGAGCATCTCTGTTTGGAGTAAAAATCTGCACAGAAATGGTGCAAAATCTGATTTGAACGGCAACTCGAAGTGCTCGGGTGTTGGTATGCTATTTAAGTTTCAGTTTTCTTAAGCCTTGGGGGTTTATATTTGATCTTTCATGGGCTGAAAATTGAAAAATTCTGCACTTTTAAGGCTGAATTTTGGGTACTAATGGGAAAATCTGACCTCTCGGGTGTTATTATATGGTCATATTTAAGCTGAAAGTTGAGATATATGCATTGTTTACAGCTGATTTTTGGATACTAATGAAAAGTTCTGCATTTTGAAAAGTTATTTTTGGACTTGTAAGCTGATTTTTTGAGTGCAAAATGCAAATTTTACACTTTTTACAGCTTATACGTGCTGAAATATAAAAAATCTGCACTCTTTTCTTGGTGTTCAAGCTGGGTTTTGAGTTCATAAGATGCTAATTTACTAAATTTTGATGTTTAATCGATGCATATGAGCTGCTTTGGAAGTAGATATCATGACTTTACCTTCTCATATACAGTATTCTGCTTTAAAAATGCAAAAGAGCACTAGAATCTGCTTTCAGGAACCTAATTTGAAGCTTTAAATATACATTCTTTAAATCTGATTTTTTATCTCTTCAAAGCTAAAAGACTTGGTCTTAGTCATGTTTTTGCAGATTTTGGGTCCACCGAACACATCAAGGAGAGGAAAACGATGAATTGATGTTGCGTATACTTTTTTTGTTGAATTCCCCAATTCCCTTCTCTCATTGCTAAGTTCGTGCTTGCTTAATATTGCCATTTGCATACAATATAGATGCATTGGGGACTATGCACATTTTAAGTTTGGGGGGAGTTGCTCATGCTTGTGTCATTGCTTAAAAAAACTTTTGAGGCAAATTTTTTTTCAAAAAAATAGGTTTTGGGTCCAAATATTTTCATTCTTAATTCCATATCTTCTTATTTAGAGCATTGTTTTCAAAATTGACCCAAAAACCTCATTGTTTTTCTTAGGGCTTAATTCTGAAAGATAGCAAGTGTATACTTTATAAACCCGCATTGAGTCTTATGCTCTTTTCTTGGTAAAGAAATGACCTTAAAATGTTTGAAATCCTTCTAGGAATCCCATAGAATCTTGTTTTCTAGAACTGGCCATCCACATACTATCTAGATGCTGCCTAATCAACCATTTCTTGATATTAAAATCTGAAAAACACAGAGAGAATCCAGTTTTAGGAGCCCTTTTATTTTTAGAAAAGTGTGTGATTTTAATATTCTTAGGCTTATTGATGAACCTTGCTACCGCTGCTATTGAGCCGTTTTAAACTATAGGATTCCGCTAGGAAACTTTTTTGTAGCAGCTTTAGAGCATTTGTTAGAACCCAAAAAAATCCACTCCTTAGTTTTCCATCTTTTTAGGATTTCTAGCTCACTTTGTTTTTAAAATGTGAATGAGCATAAAGTTTTAAGTGTGGGGTTTAAAGTTTGCTTTGTTTTTTCTTGATGATGATAAAAAGAAATAATGTATTCTTTTCCTTGAACGAGGACGTTCAACTCTTAAGTGTGGGGGTATTTGATAACTCGGGTTTGGATTAGTTCTTTTTATTCACTTTTAGGTATTTTTAATATTTTTAGAGTTTAATTTTTAGTATTTTAGCTTAGTTTTATTTTAATTCTCATTTTTACAATCTTTTAATTTTCTTTTAAAAATAGTAGGTTTTTAATTATTTTTTAACATTTTATTATTGTCTTCATTTTATTTTATTTTTCCTAACCCAAGTTATCAGATATCTTATTTTTTGGAGAAAAATATCGCAGAAAGCCAAAAATGCAGTTCAAGTTTGGAAAGAAGATATTGATTTTGGCTAGAGCCCAAACCCATCATCAAATAAAGAAGTCCAGGCCTTGTCCTCTTAAAGATTTACGCAAGAAAGAAAAAAAAAGAATTGAGGATTGAAGTCTACGACTTCTTCCTCTTCGTGTTAAACCAGCGCGGATGCTCCAACGTTCTTCCGTTTGATTCGCAACAATCAATTCTCAACGGGAAGAAATTAAAGGCTCCTTGCTCCTACTATCCTATAAATTGAAGGCAAATTGCAACTCGAAATGGGGGGAAGAACGTGAGAGAATCACAGAGAGTAAAGCAGCGGCTCTAGCCGCTGCTATCTACGCAGCTCCGATGGCGGTGGGCGG